AACAGTATGTGCTGTTGGGAATTAAGAAACCCTGGGCCTTTCTTAGGGCTCTTCATCTGAACTCTAATGTCTTGGGGTTACAGGGCCTGGGTTTCCAATCGGGTTCCTGCATTAGTGCTAGGTGCTCCAGTGGACAGGGGTCCCTGAAGCCTAAGCCCTGAACGCTATAGGACCCCAGGTGCCGAGGGCCGCGCAGGGCCTCAAGTCTGAAGGCTCTCGGCCAGTAGCCAACGCATGTAGTCTAAAGCTCTCTTTCCTCAACCTAAAAAATCATACAATACAAAAATGCTGGAAAAGGACGGCCAGTCGAATAAGACTTTTATGGCAATAGCAATGGGAACAAATCCGTGTTGCGCGGCTGCGTCGGGGCTCGCCTTCTTCAGCAGGTTTCTTTCCAACCTGGCATCAGGGCGCAAGGCTCAGGCGGCGTAAGGTTTAGACCTCTACAACCGATTGAAAAAGACCATGTCTCAGATACTATGAGATACTGGACCGCTCTGCACTATGACTTGAGGTATCGATGCTCTGGTTCACAGGGGCGCTTCGGCTTCACGAGCCCGATGTACCCTTTGGAATGTTAATATATGAAAACCTACAGGACCTGAAAAGGTACTTTGGACCCGTATGTACTGTCTGCCTGGGTGAACCCTAAAACCCCCGGACCCACATCCCTACCGCCCTAATCACAGAGTTTCAACACGAGCCGTAGCTCACGACACCAAGTCGTCATCCCGCTTTCGAAGCTGCCACATCTTGGCTTTTCAGAGGCTTGGCAGTAGGGTTTAGGGTTCAGGGCTTCGGATTTTTAAGGCGCGGGGTTGGTGGCAATGAAGCATAACAATAAAAGGAACAACGGCAAGCACAGTAGCAATAACAGCAACATACAACCTGCGACAGGCATCAGCGAGCAACAACAAACAGAAGCAGCAGCTCCAGCAGCAACAGAACGAGCAACAGCATCAACAATCGGCATGCAGGAACAACAGTCCGTATAGAATTACTAAGGCGCATCTTTGAGACACAATGATGCTGGCGATCGTTCTCATCATCTAAATGATCTCCGTCATACAAGCTAGCGAAACAGAAGCGAAGGAAGCACGGTCGTCGCCTTCGCCCAAAATAACCCTATCAGCAATAGTCCGCACAAGCATGACAAGGACAGGCATCATGTTCACCATCACTGGGTACACATATACTAAACCCCAAACTCTAATCCCTGATCCCTTACCCTCAACGCTGAATCCCAGATAAATGGCCATTACCTGCTCAGCAGCCCCTGAGAACCCACTTGGAGTCCTTAGAACAGCAATCTAGACACCCTACAACATCTCATAAACACCCTTATCAAGCCACTGTAAGACCCTTACAACATCTTCTCGAAAACCCCACAAGCCCCTTAAAACCCTAAACCCTAAACCCTAAACCCCACAAGCCCCTTAATTCGTATCCCCCCTTGTCGAACCGTTGAGGCGAGCACGGACACGGCCAGCGGCCGAGCGGGGGCAGAGTTGGTTCTGCCGACGATCTCGAGGACAGTCTGCACAGGCATTAGGGTTTAGGGTTTAGGGTTTCGGGTCATGCCAAGAGTTGGCGATTTAGAGTTTAGGGCTTAGGGTTTAGAGCTTAGCGTCTTCGAGTTTAGAGCTTAGGGGTTAAGGGGTTTAGCGATTAGGACTTAGGATGGTTTAGGGTGCTGGGTACAGGGCCCAGGATTAGCGCCAAGGGGTCCAGAGTACATGGGTCTGAACAATTCGAATAGGCTTTGGAATTGGGGACGGTATGGCATGAAAAGCACGGGAATACGGTCGCTACTTATTCCGACCCCTGTAATGAGCAGGGCCTCTGCCCCAAACCCCTAGACCCTAAACCCCTAAACCGTAAACCCCTAAACCCTACACCCTAAACCCTACAAGCACCGGCAGAAAAGCAAAGCCGAACTCTAAACTTCTGCTCTGCTTCCTTCAAAAGCTCCCTGAGCGAGCTAAAGCATAGTATAAAGATAGGATTGCGTGTCTAGGGCTTAGTATAAATAGACTGCTTAGGGCTTAGACTTTAAAAAAATAGCTTGACTGCAGGGCCTGGTGAGCCTCCACGGTGCTTCTTAATGACTCGTTGCTTTCACTGCCCTACTTCTGACCTCCGGATCCCACTGCAGAGACATGCCGAAGACCCCGAAGAAAGCTCTTTCTTCTCGCAGATGTTCGTCAGGCAAGTGTCTATCTTATCCCGCCTGGTGTCCGCGGGCAGCTTGCGCAGTCACCAACGCGAAGGATTTTGGGACGGCGTCGTGGGTTTCTAGAGAAGTGCAAGGCAAGAAGCAGAGCTAGGGGACTTCAAACAAAGCTCGAAAAGGATAGGAATGGAAAAATATAAAATATATCATGTCCATTTATTTGTATAATTTAGACACCAAATATATCTATAGAATAGATACCTGCACTGAAGACTCCAGTTTTGAGCAGCTCCACTCAGTGTAACTTGGGTCCTCGGAAGGCGGAAGATTCTTCCTGAATTCACCCTGAGGCATGCTGCACGTCTCTCTCTCAGAGTCCCTTTTGGGCGCGATAATACTCCACAAAATCGTCCAGTACCACAGGCCACGCCGGGTTCTCGTCGTAGGTGGATAGATCCGCTGGGACTTCGGTCGCCAGCTTTAGGACCATCATCCACAAATCCCGGGGAATAGCTCTCCCCTTCATGTTCTTGGCGGCCCAATCCTCAGGACTGTTTATTTCCAGAAACTCGGACATGAAAAAGATGAAAGCAACGTGCCTTGCAGCACGAAGACCGTGACGTATCAACGACTAGAACTCCTCTGCCATGTTGATGATACCGGGAGCTTAGAGCTTAAGAGTCTTGAGATGGACACGCAGAAGCTGGGCCTGACCCTGACTGACGTGAAGCCTCAATTGGTGCGGTCTGTTCTTGCAACCTGCATCGTAGATTCCTGGATGGAAACCAAGCCTGCAAGCATACCTTCAACAGAACATACCACAAGCACCGCCGAGGTTCGCAGAAGTCCTCTCGGAGGGACCAGTTGGGTAGGAGCAGGGCCCAGTACTGCGCTGCTTCCTCCAATGGAAGGACCTTGCAGAGTTTACTCCCATGTGCTCGACCTTTGGCACTTTTTCCAGTGTGACGAACCATCGTAAAATCACGGTACGGTGCTGATTACTTGTGGCAGCAGTTCCTGCTTTTTCTTCTGCTTCTTCTCACTCTGGCTATTCGGACCATGACCGGCACAATCAATCTGATAGCGTTCCTATTCAAGTAGTCCAGGCACTACCCCGGTATTATGAGTGCTGCTTGCGGTATGCTTCGTACTATTCACTCGATGCCGGCAGCTCCCAGCTTCTGCTAATCCTCACTGCTGCTACTGCCACTCCTCCTCATCCTACTACCACGACCACGACGACTACTACGACTGCTACGACTATTACGACCACTACGACGACACTACGACTACTGCGACGACCAGCATCAATTGCTTTTCCCAGCCCTAGCAATACATGGCAACAATAATGAAATTAACACTACTTTTTTCTGGTTCAGCGCCACTGTACCACCAGCATGACAATCTTTCCCCTTGTCTTCAGCTTAACCTTTCTCTTCATCGTCTTTGGGGCTGTGGTTTTCGAGACCGACTCCTCTGCCCCGAACGGGTGCAAGATGCTTCCTGAAACTAGCTGAGACCTTAGACAAAGACTAAATCCTACAACCTGCAGCCACCCGACAGCACGAGCTACGTTCCCACCCCGAAGCACTTAGCGGCCTTGCAGGGAGGATCCAAGGCTACCCCGAAGGTGTATGTGTAAACGTCTGCGAGAGCCTGTCCAGAAACGACCTGGAGCGTGTGGGGCTTTGGAGTTGGGGCTTAGGGCATTAGGGCTTTGGGCTCTTGGAATCGCGTTGCAGGTTGGTAACTCCCAGGCTCGGGTTTTGGGTTGGGCTTTCGGATGTTCGGCATCAGATTTTAGGCGCTTTCTGGTCGGGGCTGACAGACTTCAGGTCCGAGGGAAGCCGTTTGGGGCGCTTTCCTATTCAAACGGCAAACATTTTACTGAGCACTACTGGCCAGAGAAACTGATAATCCTAGGAAAACTGCTTTACCCAGAAAAATCTTCCAAATGGAAACTGGCTTGGTCGAGCCGGCTAGCTTCCCTGAACCCTAAACCCTGAATCCCCCAGGCGGCGGTCAAGGGCTTAGGGTTTAACATTTAGGGTTGAGGGTGAACCCCGAGCGCACCCAAATTCCACCAAGGCCTCAACGATTGGGTTTCGGGTTTACGGCTCAAGGGTTCAGGAGCTTGCAGTGGAAATCCCTAGCTTCGGCCTAAATTCGATGCCCAGGCGAAGATACCAAACCACCGGCCTGAAATTCCCAATAAACCGAAACCTTTCTGTACACAGCATGAAGCGTCCCCTCAGTTTCCACATCTGTCATACAGCGTTACTACTTACCCTGATGCTGAAGGACAACAGCAGATTACAACAGAGATAAGACAGTATGCTGCAGATCTTGATGTCGCTCCATGAATACCTGCTGTGTCCCGTAGTAGTAGTAGTAGTAGTCGT